CATTGTTGTTTGGCGGGTCCGGGCTGGGGATTCGAACCCGCCACCTTAGGTGTATGTGGCTGGCGCCTTAGCCGGTTGAGCTATAGGCGCCGAGCTTAAGCCATTCTCTTGGCTCAGCCTCCCAAGTAGATGGGACTATAGGTACTGGCCACAACACCTAGCTATTTTTTGTCACAGTTGTCATTGTTGTTTTAGCTGGCCCTAGCCAGGTTTGAACCCTCCAACCTTGGTGTATGTAGGTGGCGCTGTAACCACTATCCACTGTGCTACAGGTACTGAGTCTCTCTCTCTCTCTCTTTTTTTTTTAATGAGACAAAGTCTCACTTTCTTGCCCCTGGTAGAGTACCACGGCATCATAGCTCACAGCAACCTCAAACTCTTTTTTTTTTTCGAGTCAGAGCCTCAAGCTGTCCCCCAGGGTAGAGTGCCGTGGCATCACAGCTCACAGCAACCTCCAACTCCAGGGCTCAAGTGAGTCTCCTGCCTCAGCCTCGCAAGTAGATGGGATCACAGGTGCCCGTTACAATGCCCAGCTATTTTTTGGTTGCAGCCGGCATTGTTGTTTGGCGGGCCTGGGCTGAATTCGAACCCACCACCTTAGGTGTATGTGGCTGGCGCCTTTAGCCACTTGAGCCACAGGCACCGAGCCAACAACCTCAAACTCTTGGGCTTAAGCGATTCTCTTGCCTCAGCCTCCCACATTGCTGGGACTACAGGCACCCACCACAATGCCTGACTATTTTTAGAGACAGAGTCTTGCTCTGGCTCAGTCTGGTCTTGAACCTGTGAGGTTAGGCAATCAGCCCGCCTTGGCCTCCCAACTGCTAGGATTACAGGTGTGAGCAACCACACTCAGCCCCAGCCATGTCCTTTTCAACAGTGTAGATTCAGACTTGGGGGCAGGGCTCTGCTCTATGTGCTTTATTTCTAGGGGTTACAGCTGCTTCTAGCATCTGCCCTTAGGATGTGGTTTAGAGTTCTCTCTGCTTCTTAGCCAGTTCCTCCTTATTCCAATCCCCTGTTATAGGTGATAACTGTTCATATTAAACTCTCCCAGTGGGTGTTACTGTGTCTCTTCTCTTTCCTAATGGGTCACTGGCTGATACCAACAGCATGGTGGTTGGATGGGATGGGCTAGTTTTATAGCTATTATGACCTATGTCTCCTTCAATCTCTGAGGAAAAGCCAAAGATCACAGGATCTGGACCACTGCTATATGATATCTGTGGGTGGGGAGGGAAGGAATTTGGGCTAAATATCTTGTGTCTGGAGTTTGGTAAGTGTTTAGAGAATGAATAATTGAACCAGCGCTGGCCTAACCCTGTTATCAAACTTCAGGGTTTCTGCAAGACCCTTGTCCAGTCTTCCTCACAAGTGTCCCAAGAACCAAGGAGAGATGTAATTCTAAAATCCCTTCCAGTGCTAATTTACTCTAACCAAGGGTATTATGTGGTCTGACTGGTATTTCAGTGCAGACTGACCTGGCAGGTAGAAACCACAGGCAAGATCAGTCAGGAGCCCTTGGGAGAGATAAAGGCTAACTCAAGGTGATAAGGGGTAAAAAGGAAAGGATAAAAACAAATAGTGATTTTCCTGGGAGAACCAGCCTTTGAAGTAGGATTACCAAATAAAATACTAAAAATTGTTTATTTATCTGAAATTCAAATGTACATGGTGTCTCAGGTGTTTTGTTCTGTTTTCTAAATCCAGCAACCCTTCTTTGAAGAGGCACCTGAAAGGACTGTGGCCTCAGGGGCTCTTGCCCAGGTACTGGGCCATCAACCCACAAAGCCCTTTTCCAGCCCAGGCCAACACCCTTCCTCTCTTTGCAGTACAGGCCTCATGGACCTGGACCCTTCTTTCGTCTTCAACACTGTCACTACTCTTATCAACTGGGCTTCCACTTCCAAGGCCTAACAGTGAAGTAGGTTGCAGTTGCCCTTAATACTCCCTTCCTTGCCCCTTACTCCCAAAATAAGTCCTCAGGTTCTTTTGAAAGTTTTACCTCAGCTCAGCGCCTGTGGCTCAAGTGGCTAAGGCGCCAGCCACATACACCTAAGGTGGCGGGTTCAAATCCCCAGCCCGGGCCCACCAAACAACAATGATGGCTG